TGAATACACTGTAGGACAGGTTTTTCTGTGAGTAGACCATATCATTACCATAACTAAATAACATTTGCTTGTCAGTGGACCTCCAGTATGCCAGTTTGGGCACTGGATGCAAAAGAAGACAATTAAGCAATATGAGCCTATATTTGACCTGAGAATATTTGGAACAGCATCTTTTCAGAATTAGATTTGAACTTAAACTTTGTTAGATTTTTCTTACTGTGTTCCCACTTTCTGATTTTCCAAAAGTGAACTATGTGTGAGTGAATTCAAGCTGTGCCTCTGAAAATTTTGGTAAATAATTACAGTTCCATACTTTCACAGGACTGCAGAGTTGGGTGTGCCTTCATATTACGTGCTTAAAGAGATCTGGGAGGTGGCCTCTGCCTTTTAGGTCTGCTGACACAAATTTAAGACAAGAAGTTGTGGTTGAGGGTCTGGGAATAAAGAAGGATTATTTTTTCTTGGTTTATACCAATGTTGTGGTCTAAAGGAAGATTGCTTCCAAGGACACTCAGTAACCTTGAATAGGTCTTACATTTCCTGGCTCATGTATAGCTGCGATTACTTGTATTTAAATCTTCAAAAATGGTTTGGCCCTAACTGGTTTGGCTCAGTGGATAGAGCGTAAGCCTGCGGACTGAAGGGTCCCAGGTTCAATTCCCGTCATGCCCAGTAGGGAGTGTGCAGGAGGCAGCTGATTGATGTCTCTCTCATTGATGTTTCTCTCTATCCCTCTCCCTTCCTTTCTGTAAAAAATCAATAAAATATATTTTTTAAAAAGGTTTGAAATGGCTATAGGAATCAATCTGTCTCTCTCTCTCTCTCTCTCTCTCTCTCTCTCTCTCCCCCCCAAATAAACACACTGAAGGAAAACAAAATTTCTAGATTTCCATACTTAAAAAATAAGGGTCATTCGAACATGATAAATTATAGATGCCAAAAGTCAACATTAGTCATTAGAATTGACATGTTTTTCATTTTTAAATTTAACTTGTTATTTTTGAATACAGTTTAAAGAAATATAAATTCATAACCAACTGAGGCTTAAGCGTAAGTGTTATTTTGGCTATACCTCTGCCATATTAATCCCAGTCAGAGTGAACCAAAGGTTTGATTGAAAAAGCAGGTGAGAGATGGGAAGTATGTTTTAGAAAATAAAATGATATCTATTTATCTCTATATTATAACAGAAAGCATTTTAAGTCATTTTAAAATATAAGACCCTTGATCGACAGTTTTGTATTATCAATGTCCTTATGTGGAAAATAGCTCTCCATTCCTACTTGGTAAACTTTCATTTTTTTAATGAACAAAGAACTCTATGTATGTGTTAGCTGAAATGAACTTAGATGAATTTTATTGATTAAAGGGTGAAAGTACAATCCTCAGCTGCAAAAATGCATCTCTGGAAGTCTGCTATTGGTACATTTCTCACTTTGAACTGCTTGTAGCAAAGTCAATGCCTATAATCAAGAAAAGGTTCCCCTTACCCCTTTAGTTCTTCCATCTGGTTGAATAATTGAAACCACTTACAGAAGATTAACAAGAGACAATCAACATTTTAATAAGTGCACACAGGGAATTCACATAAGCATGAAAATCCCAAAAGACAGCGAGGCAATATTAAGTATATAAGACATTTTTGGACAAAGTATAAAATGGGTGATGGGAAACTGGATTTCAGAAGTGAGAGTGGGTGATTTACAGGTGTTTGGGGAGAAGTGGAACACATGGCAGGGAAACATTTCTCTAGGAAACCCAGAAACAATGGGACACAAGGTGTGGAGTGTAACAGACTTGGAGTGTAAGTCAAGGCTCTCTTCCTAAAGTAGGATTTTCTATCTGAATCTCCTAAGAAAAAAGGGAACTAAAAAACTGTTTCTGAGCTTGTTGGACTTTAGTTGATTTTAGTTTGAAATAATGTGCATGCCAGGGTGGCACATTTTAGGGGCACTTGGTCTAGACCCCCACATAAATGTGTACCTTATGAGCAACATGCAATGGGAACCTAAAAATAAAACAATTAAAACTGGTCTTATAAGTTAGATGCTGAATGGAATTTGAGTGGTTGTGGCGATGGCATTAGTGATGAACAAATAAGCAAATCAAGTACAGTCCTTTCCCAATATCTTCATCTTTGGTGCTCAATCACTACTTTGTCTTTCTTTGTAAGAATCATTGCAGTCTGCTTTGTAGTAGAATTGTTTATCACTTGCATAAGTTGTCAGCTTCTTGGGCAGAGAATATGGCCTATTCATTTTTATATTCTCTCTAGCCCCTATTGTGAGGGCTTGGCAATTTTTATTCAACTCATTCAATAAGTACTAGTCAAGTGTCTACTATATGCCAAACACTGTGCTTATTCTGAGGCTGTAGCAGTGAATGTAACAGACAAAAGTACCTACCACCATGGAGCAGACAATAAACAAATTACCAAAATATATAGTGTCATCTGGTGATAAGTGCTATGAAAGACAGGAAGGAGCATGAGAAATGACATTTTTTGCTTGTTTACAATGGGAAGTTGTAAAGGCCCTGAGATGGAAACATGCCTATTATTTTCAGAAACAGCAAGAATGTTAGTCATCTAGAGTGAATAAGAAAGGGAAATTACCAGGGGATGCGTTTGGAAAGGTTAGGTCAGGTTAGGTTAGGTTGAGATGGTCATTTTGGCTTTTATTTTGAAGGAAACAGGACAACATGACTTCGATTTTTAAAGCTTCATTCTGTCTGTAGTGTGGGGGAATGTGCTAGAAGGTACTAATGGCATAAGCAGTAGATCAATTGGGAGGCTATTACATTAATCCAGGTAAGGGATGATGACTTGAACCAATGTCGTAGTAGAGCAGTGGACAGGTATCATTGGATTCTGGATATATTTCACAGGTAGCTCCAATAGGCTTTACTAATGGATTGCATGTGGGATGTGAAAGAGAGGAATCCAGGATTACTTCACATTCTGTGGCCTGAACAAACAGAAGAATGGAGTTGCCATTTACCAAGATGGAGAAGACTGTGTGAGGAGTATGTGTGGGGGTTGGTGGGAATCAGGAACTCAGTTTTGAATATACTAAGTTTGAGATGCCTTTTAAATATCCAAGTGGAGGTATTGAGATGGATATCCAAGTCTGTGGCTCATGGGTGAGATCTCTGCTGGGGCTATAAATTGGGGAGTTATTAGTGTTTAGACCAGGGGTGGGCAAACTTTTTGACTCGAGGGCCACAATGGGTTCTTAAACTGGACCGGAGGGCCGGAACAAAAGCATGGATGGAGTGTTTGTGTGAACTAATATAAATTCAAAGTAAACATCATTACATAAAAGGGTACGGTCTCTTTTTTTTTCAGTTTTATTCATTTCAAACGGGCCGCATCCGGCCTGCGGGCCGCAGTTTGCCCACGGCTGGTTTAGACAAATATGGAGCCATGAGTTAGCATGAGATTAGATTGCAGTTGAATCATCAGTATATATTCATTTATAGTACGTTATCTGTTTTTCCTCTAATTATGCTCATCTTTGATATTATTTCAAACCAAAGTAGGTTTCTCTTTAGACCTTTATAGAATCTGTAGTTTCAGGAGTTAGTTTCTGCTGTGTATGTGCCTAGATTAGTGCTAAGTGCTACAGGGGACGGGGGCATAAAGAAGTATGAGTCTCAAATTCTGCCTTCAAGGACTTTAATATTACGTTAGGGTAATAAGACTTTGACTTGTGAAACTTCATTCCTACCACAAAGCATTATACCACTGAATGCATAACAGTAAATCCATGAGCTTTATTGAGTGTTTTTGCCTGTATGTGTTTACTATACATGCAATAGGAATTTCAAAAAGTGAGGTACTCTCCATAATAGAGGTGTCACCACCTAGATGTCCATAGATTTCTTTGAAAAATACATCTGGTAAAAATCTGAAGAAGAAGAAAGGAGTCCATTTCACTGCAAACTAATATAATGAAGTTATTTGTTTTCAAACTAGGGTGGTGTTGTTGTTTTCTTTTTGTTGTTGTTTTAACATTGTATGAAAGGACCAAGTTGCAAAATTGCAGCAGTGGATGAATACTATGATCAAATAATGTAAAGAATGAAAAGTAGCACATTTTTTCCCCAGAGCTTTAAACTTTTCAGATGACTTTGACATCTCAGATGACATTTGATCTTCTTGACCCTCTTAGGTGTGAATAAGGCAATAATGCCTCGACTTGTCCTCAGAGCCTCGGTGGCTCTTAGCCAAGTATTCTGTGGGGAACGGGGTTCTTTCAGTGATTTATCATGAAGTTTAAAATTTTTATTTCTAAACCCAATTTAGATCCTGCTGTTGCTATACCAGTATACTCACCAGAAGCATTGTTTTCATCCTCTTGCTGCTATGAAGAACAAGAATTTACCACCACCTAACTCATTAAAAATGCTCTGTAAGCCTGAGGCTCAAAAGCCACAATATGAGCACAAAGAGCTCAGTGCCCCTCAAGGACCCTATTTCACGAGCTCCTCTCACTCAGAATCCTTCCCTTCCTCAGAGCCTCTGTCTTAAGTGCAATATTAAACCAGAGGCAAGAAGGATTTGTTTTTTTTTAGAAGGTAGATATCCTCCTGGGTTTCATTTCAAATATGGGATGTGCAGGGTTAATATTTGTATTCCTGGCCACTTTCAAATCTCAATGTATTTTAATCAAACTACTGACTTTAAAAACATGTACACACCATACAACAATGTTGTCTTTTATTTGCATTCCAATACAAATATTTTTGAAGTCGGTCTCTCTTTTACCTTTGAGTATTTTCTGTTACTGCAACCTCCAGCTTATTCCTAAATGCTTGACAATATATGCATATAACTCAGTGTTATTATTGCCTCCGGCTAGCTTCATGTCATCTAGTTTGTCTTTTGCTCTTCTCCTTTGATAGTATGATCAGGACCAATTGTGAATCTGCCAGATGCATTTCCTCACAAAAGGACAAATCTAAGACAGCTTGTGTTTTTCCCTCTGTCTTTCAGGGCTGCTCACATTAAAGGAGTTCCTCTTCCTTTTTTTTATGAAACTGAGCTTGCTTAATCAGAGATGGAGCAAACAGACTGCAAACCCTACCAGCCTCTGTCTAAAGTCAAGCATGAAATGGATCTAGCTTATACCAGTTCTTCTGATGAGAGTGAAGATGGAAGAAAACCAAGACAGTCATACAACTCCAGAGAAACTCTGCATGAGTATAACCAAGAACTGAGGATGAATTACAATAGCCAGAATAGAAAGAGGAAAGAAGTAGAGAAATCTACTCAAGGTATGTTTTTATTGGATTTTTGTAACCAATATTCTTTCTCACTGGGAGATGCTTGTATGTGCAAACTTATGTTTCAAAAACAAATTTGCTGATGTTAACTGGTTAATAATCCGCACTGCTTGCATATGCTTAGTGAATCTTTTTCACATGTCAGCCCAGCTGAGGTTGTAGGTCACATGTGCTTTTTACGGATTATGCATAAATTTGGATGCAACAATCCTCTTATCAGAGCATTCAAAATTTGTCTAATCCTACAAATAGCCATTTACAGACTGAAGGATAAATAATTTCTAGTAAGATGAAAAGTAAACGGCCAAGTGCTTTGCAAGCCATTGGCTATATGGGACAAAGTTCTCAAAAGAACTTCAGAAAGATTTGTGGAGACCACCAAACAGGTGTGCATGCAAGAAGCCTTTCCACAGAGTGCTGAAAAGTTGTGCATCACAGTCTTTAAGGGAAATTAAGACTTTGTTGGAATACTTCCTGCCACAGCCATATCCTTCGGACAGCCTTATGGACAAGCCTTGGTTTGTCAATTATTGATTGACAAGAAAGTTTCTAATAAATAGAAAACAGGTAGCTAGAAATATGAGTTCCTTATTTTTTTAAATGGCTAGATAAGCAGTTTTAGACGTGCTTTTAACTACATAGGAAAAGTATACTGACATTGGCATATGTTACCCTTTTTCTTTTAAAGAATAAGTCAATGCTAAGATGAAAAAAGAGATTTGATTATCTAGATCTGTCATTCTCAAAGCGTGTAACCTGGGCCAGCAGCAGCAGCATCACCCACAACCTTGTTAGAAATGCAAATTCTCAGGTACCACCCCAGACCCTGTAAAATGTAGTAATTACAAATGAAAACTACTATGTTCTAATGATTATTGGGATTTCACTCTAGAGGAATTTTAAATTGAGTTAAAGATTTAAGGTATTCATGCTAATATTTAAATATACATTAAATGTTTAATATTAAGTATATTGCTCATTTTAAGTTCTTAACATAATTGGTAATAGTTTTATATCTGCTTTTTTCAAGTAATTCATTTTAATCTTCGCTATTGATTCAGCTACAGCCAGTGTAAATTTGTTACAAAATAATTTTATTCTTCTGCTTACATGGCAATTGGGAAATGTTTTCCTATGGGAATTTTTTGGCTCTATTATGCTTTAAGAAATGTGTAGCTCCCATTAAAATATCTTCCTGTAAGTTTGTCTTTAAGTAATATGAACTTATAGTTGTGAGTTTTGGTTATGGGACTGGAGTACAGAGTGCTTGAACTAATATGTTTTAAGTTTAAATAAGAATATACTTCTAGTGATATTTCTAAAAATATAAGCAAATTTTTACTGAGTCAGTATGAGTTAGCCAGCCTCGGATTTTGTTTTGTGCATTGTGATCAAAATGAATTTTGGGAAGAGAGAATTTTATCTTCTGTGATGCCATCCTAACTTCCTTTCAAATAACTTATTATTACTCAGTTAGCTTTTATTTGGCACTTGCTATGTGTCAGGCCTTGAGTCAGAAGCTGGTGATGGAGATGACCATGATAGTTGCTGCTTGAAACTCATTATATGGTGGAGAAAATAGACATCAAACAAATAATTGCAATTAAAAGTCCAGTGGAAGAACATAGGAATTGGGTTCTATAGATAGGTGATATTTGATCTAGATTTTAAAATGTGAAGAAGAGATTACTAGGAAAAGGACATTCCAAGAGGGTAGATTAGCAGATGCAAAAACATAAAGCTGTGAGAATGCCTGGCATGGTGAACATTTCAATATGGCTAGAGTAAGGTACATTGGAGTCAGATCATGAAAAGTCTTGCATGCTCAATTTAAGAGTTATTTTTTTCTTTAATTATTAAAAAAAAACTTTTAAGTGATAGGGAATTTCTTGATGAATTCTAATTTTTAGGATGAGAAGTGTAGAAAAGAATTTTAGATGTGTAAGCAGCGGTATAGAAGACTGATTGCAATTGGGGAAAATGTGATGAAGGGAGATAATCTGTGAAGCTACTGAATCAGTCCAGGCTCAGAAGGTCTCAACTCTATCTGTATCAATGGAGGTGGAAAAAATATTCAAGAGATATTAGTGTGGTGGCATTGATAGGACTTGGTAATTGATTACTTGTCAAGGTTGAAGGAGATAATAGAGAGAAGGATGACTCTAAATTTCAAGTTTGGGAAACTGGGAGGATGGCAATCCATTTACCAAGACAAGGAACATGGGGGAAGGAGTTTGAAGGATAGAGAACAGTTTTTTTTCTGGACCTGTTAAGTTTAAAATGATTGGGTGACATCCAGATGGATTTTCCCAACAGGCAGTTAGAAATGTGTATCTAGAGTTCAGCAAAGATCTGGACTGTTGCTACAAGTAGATTTGAGTTTATTAGTATCTGATAGTAGGAGATTCCCAAGCATGAATGAGATTACCCAGGGAAAATGTGTAGAGTGAGGCTAGAAAAAAGCGATGGACAAAAATATGAATCTATCAGTCATGTACTGATATAAACACGTTTTCAACCTATTTAAATTTTTAGCTAGCACCATTCTTTAGTGCACTGACATGTAATGTAAACTAAAGTATAAAGATCCAGGAGGTCAAAGTCTAGAAACTGGGAATCTTATCTGCTGGTGATTTGCTGATTTTTTATAGAGACCTAAGAAGGAAATATGACCTCTATGTGAGAGAAGTGAATTATTCTACATCAGGTAAAACTTTGGGCCCTTTGATCCTCTTTTTTATAAGGTCCTGAATCTTTGATGTTTTATTCAACATATTTACTACCTGTGAGTAAAAGACAGTGTTCTTAATTTTCACAAATATATGTCAGTGTTAACATCTTGAATCAACCTAGTTAGAGTTGAGCCTGACTTAAAATATTGTTGAGTTTTAAGTCAGGAAGGAAGAGAACAAACATGTTGATTGGGCACCTACTGTAGTGCCAAACACTGTGCTAGATGCTTTTCAATCTTACTAGCTGTGCAGCCTGAATCAAGTTACTGCAGCTCTCTGGGCCTGTATCTCATTTGCAAAATTGACATCGTCATCATCAATACCATAATCACAATAATAAGTAAGTAAGTAAGCAAATAAATAAATAAATAATCTTGCATAGTACCTACTCTGTTCCAGGTCTCTGCTAGGTATTTTACATTTGTTCTTCATAAACACCTTATGAGATATGGGATATTATCCCCAGTTTACAGATAAGGTAACTGAAGATTGGGGGGAAAGAACTTGCCAGAGTGTCTACAGCTAAGAAGTGGTGAGAATTGAGATTGAAAATAATTCTATGGCTCCAAAGTTCCCATACTTCTCTGTGCTACACTGCCTCCCATACCTACATTATGAGGTTGTAATAAGGCTTAATTGTGATCATAAGTGTAGAAGTGTTTAGGAACTCAATAAATGTTAGTTTCCCTTCATTTCCTTCCCCAACAACCTTGCCAGTCTCTGATGTTCCAATGACCAAGGGTTCACAAGGAGGTTTAAAAGGCTTTCCTTTCTGATTATCTTTATAAAAGGGCAGATGATATCCTATATAATTTATAATGAAAGATTCCTGAGTCTGGTTGTTAGTTTCCACTTTTGGGAAGAGTTACTATGTCTAATTCAGGGCTTGTTTGGGGGCAATATTAACAAGAGAAAATTTTTGCTTGATTTCATCTGAAAGTATCTTTATATTCTTACCATTATTTGCCAAGAAAGAGGCACCCCCATGTATACACATAGTGTTGGATTTTAAAACTGATTTTCTTAATTTTCAAAAGCTTTCAAATTAATAGATGGACACTAATCTAATATTACTCACAATTCTTTACTAACAGGATGAATGAGCCTTAGGCAAGCTTATTTCATATGATTTTTGGCAGGTGTCTAATAGCAGGGGTGGATTTCCTGGAGGCACACAGGCTAGCAATTGTTCCCAAGCAGCCTCACTTCCAAAGAAGGCATCAATTAACTAAGAAATTAGTGTAAGACAAATGAAAATATAAATATGTGGATATATAAACAAAGGATAACAATTTTAGCTATGAGAATTACCCTATCATTTTTATAACAGATAAGATTAGTTTTGAACATAGCCATTTTACTGAAAAGTAATTATGAATGAAAAGTCACCCATGCATAAAAAGATGTGTGGTGAGGATCTATTACAGTCCCACCAGATCATAGACTCCCGAGATACTATAGCTGATACAAACATTTCATTTCTCCCTTCCTAAACTGTTCTTTTGTGCTTTTCTTTCTCCTAATATGAGTTTGGTTTGTTTGGTTGGTTGTTTTTCATTATTACAACCTAAGCCTAAATCTCACATTATCGCCATCTGGTGGAAGAAATTTAAAATTGCCAATCTGTGTTTACCAAAATTACTTGGAAGGGAAGCTTATCCTGTCTTACATCCATCCATCTATCCGTTTTCTTCATTTACTCATTTATGCATCAAATATTCATTTAATGTCATCCATCCTTTTTTCATTTTCTTATTTATGTATCAAACATTCATCTAGTGTCAACTATGTTCTAGATACTTTGCTAGGGGAATGAAATTCATCTTGAAATAGACACATGTGACCACTATTTCCCCCCTCGTTGCCTCAGGCTTCATTCCACAGGTGCTCATACAGCATTATCACTTGAAGGCTCAAGGAGTAGACAGAAGCCCACATTCAAAAAGTACATTTCTTGATTTTTATTTCAAACACTTAGTTGTAGTAGAAACTATTGTTTGCTTATATCTAAACAGTTTGAATAACAGTTCTTACAAAAATCTTGGAAAAAGAACTCTTATTCTCAAGGTCTGTTTATATTACACCTGCCATCTGTGGTAAAGATCACAGATGGCAGGTGTAATATAATGTAGCATGGCCTTTAAAATGAAAATTTCAACAGTATTTGATCATCTGTGATGCATTTTCTGCTGTGAGCATGTTATACTTCCAGCATAAGGTTTCTAGCATAAAAAGTTATAATGACTGCCCAGAAAGAAC